TCTATTTTTAGAATGTTTAACTTTTAGGTGTGCTCGTCCTTAAGTTATTTGTTTTTGTTATTTTATGGTCTTATAACAATTATATTCAACAATTTTTATTGAGCTCGAGGCCGTTTTTAATAAAAAACTTATTGTGGAAAAGCAACAATAATTTGAAAATAAATAATATAAAAAAAAAAACTTTTTAATATACAACGCTTTTATAAATGGACTAAAAAGTAGAAAATAATATTTCTCAGTCCCATAGAATTTGTTTTGATAACTTTTGATTTTGAAATTTTATCAACAGTCATTATAAACAATCTATGAAATTGAAAATGAAAAACGTGGAGCGCATGCAATACAAAGCATTCTATTTAATTGACAATAGTCAAACTACATAACGTAGACCTAAAATTTCTACAGCGAAAGTAGAACTTTGAAATCGATTTTAAGCGGTCGTTATTCATATACCCACATATGTACATACATACATATATTACTTTTCATATCAATTCAAGTGTATTACATGCGCCCCACCCTTTTCATTTTCAATTTCATAGATTGTTTATAATGACTTTTGCTAAAATTTCAAAATCAAAAGTTATCAAAACAAATTCTATGGGACTGAGAAATATTATTTTCTACTTTTTAGTCCATTTATAAAAGCGTTGTATATTAAAAAGTTTTTTTATATTATTTATTTTATACTTTTTAGTCCTGTCTGAATAAAATTTTGCAATAGATATTAAAATAATTCAACGATATTAATAGAAAGGTGCACACACATGCATTTACATATGTATGTACATACAAACGAGCACCAATTAATTTTATTTAAAGAAATGGCGTGTCGTCTATTTCCGCTATAGCAAACGTAGTACATAGGGCGACATCTAGATGTCATCTACCTCGCCCTATTCACTACAGATGTCGCCCTATGCACTATGCTTTTTTATAGGAACTTTTCAAAGCAAAGGTTTTATGGTGTCGGACACACAACATTGAAAGTTTCTGGACACACAACATAGCAAGTTGATAAAAGCGTGGTAATAATAAAATGGTAGAAGTGATAGCTATTTCGGAAATCACCACAATTACTCATCAGACTTCTTTCAGTAGGATTCGAACCGACGATCCCACTGACTCAGCCAGTTGCCTACGCACTGTGCTAAGTCAGACTTGTAAATTATCGTTGCTTTTTTCCCACTTTTTCATTTTGCTAAGCCAACGCAATCAAGCCCAGCTATTCCGCTACGATTTACACTTGATCATGTGGTTGTTGGTTTTGTTGGTTTTTGTTAATAATTCTATTTTTAGAATATTTAACTTTTAGGTGTGCTCGTCCTTAAGTTATTTGTTTTTGTTATTTTATGGCCTTATGGTTGGCTGAAGAGTTAGGGATGATAATGTATTTCAATAGTGAATTTTTAGCAACATGTTCATTCCAATATTCGAAACCGCCTCCTTAATTCAGATCGGCAAATAATTTCAAACTTTGAGCGGCTATAGCTTTTAAAACGGAGCTAACTTTTCAACTACGTTCTTAAGGTTTCGTTAGCGTAGTCCATTACCATCGATTTCTGTTGATCGCTTCCACGTTAGATTTCATTACCCTAAAATTGTTGCACAGTATATTCAGTAAATTAGATAAAGTTGTGTTGAAATATGTTGACAAAATTTGTTGCTGAGATATGACATACTTTTAGAATTTTTTTGACAAACGCCGAAATTGGAGTTTATATTCGTACGCCTTTGAGAAACGTGTGCGATATTTAAGCGCGTTGGTGGGATGACCAACACTCTCAGCGATTTAATATAATAAATTTTTTTTTTTAAGAAGAGCTCACGCTTTTTCTATTGAAAATAAATATCAGTTTTTAGAAAAGAGTATTTTACATTTAACCTAAAGCTCATTCATCGCAATTAACTGTAATTATAAAAAGGTTTTATATCCAGGCGGACGGACAGACATTATGAGCATTTGGTTAATACATATACACTTGTTGACACGTGCACTCGGGTATAAAAACATTGAAATAAATGATTTTATTGTATTTTCTGTTAATTCAATTAGTAACCCTGTAGTCAAATGTACTAGTTGTAAACTACCTCATAACTAGTATGAACCGCATGTCCAAATAGTCAGCCAACTATGTATCTTTTTTCCATGGAATCAACTGGTATTTTTAACATGGGGATGTCCTACGAGATGATAATTGTCAGATTTCGGTCAGAAATATTCCAGATTCATACTAGTTCAAAATAGACGGAAAAATACTAGTCCAATTATGGACCAAAACCACTACTTTGGGAGGCAAAAAATAAAATGAATTCACGAATATACAATAAAACACTTTTGATTAAGTACATTTTAATACAGAGGTGGGCAGCTTCGACAGAGAATTTTTGTAGTGTGCAAGAAATTGATGTCACTGCCCTGCAGGGCAAATTCTACCAGTTTGCGTTTCAGCCCAACTAGTTCACGTTCTATCCTTTTTCAATGTTAGCGACTGGTATTTTTAACATTGCGATGTCCTACGAGATGTCAATTGTCAGGCTATGCATCAGCATCTACTAGTAGAAATACTAGTAGCATCCTACCAGTTGATGAGATAGTCTGCCAATTCATCCCCTATGAAAAGCATTAGTATGCCTTTTTGCTCGCGGCGCTCCAACAGTCGCAATGGCCGACAGAGCAAAGCACTCGCGTGGTATGCCTGAGGTACCAGATTCAAGCCTTGGTGCAGGGAATTTTATTTTTTTTTATAATATTTCTTTTATTTATATTTTTTATTTAGGGTTATTTTTGGTATTCTTAGATTTAATAAAAAAAAATATTTTTTTTAAATATATTTTTTTATGGCACAAGTATTTCTTCCCATATATTTGTTTCTTTTTTTTTGTAATGCAACTAGATTTTTAAGTTTGTTATTTATATTTAAATTGAAATAAGTATTCCTACTTACATTGATCTAACTTTAGAAATCTTAACCACCTCCAAGCGGCCTCGAACCTGCGATCCCAGAACCAGAACCAGAAGTCTTCACGCGACGCCACAGCCGACATTTGTAAGAAAAGCAATTAACTGCGTTTTATTTTAGGCTTTGGGAATTTGAAGGCAGATGTCGCTGAACGCTTAAGTTCTTCGAAAATGACGAACTGGTAGGCACATACTACTTTATGAACTAGTATTTTTTCTAACTTGTTTGGGTTTTCACTGCAGGGTGTGTGCGTGCGAACAAGTCGAGCGGTTGAATGAAGCTTTCGCTGCCTTCTAAAGCAGAGCGTGTATGTACATATACGCGAATATGCCCGCCGGGCAGGCGCCGCCCAGGTCTGCTTTAATATATTACATATTTTTATTTAGCAGCATTCGATTTGCCAATAATTGGTGTTAAATTTTTTGAGTATTAATTAAAAGCAAAAATAATTACATAAATATTTTGAACTTTCAAACATAAATTTAAATGCATTTTTCATTAAGTGTTATTAAAAGTAAAAGGTTTCGGGTTCAATAGATATTATATCGAGCCCTCACGTAATAAGGTAAGCGACATTTTTCTCAACATTTTTTTTTTTGCTGCAGAAATGTACCTAGATGCTCTAGAAATATTTCTGCATCAAATAGAAAATTTTGAAAAAAATGTCGCTTACGTTATTTTGGCGGTTAGGGCTCGATATTTTTATCTTTTTTAATAATATTGAATATGCAAAAGAAAACATTTTAGTTAAAAATAAAATGAATACTTTAGTTAATTTTTGAGTGAACTAAAATAAAAATTAAAGTTTTCATTAAAATAAATTAAATTCATTAACTTTGCATATTTCAGGCTTTTCTTTTTAAAATTTTGTAAAAGTAATAATTAATGTTTAAGATTTGGATAAGAAAAAAATAAATTAATAATTCAAGCAGTTATCAAATATTCTTAATTTTTGTCTATAGTTTGGCTTGTTGATTGATAATAGAAATTAGTCACATAATTATATTAATCGTGTCATTGAAAGAAGTCAAAAATAATTGAAAATGATCAAAAATATCAAAATAATAATGTAATTAAAGTTAAATGAGTTAATTAAAATTTTTTTTAAAGTAATTAATTATCAATCATTAAAAAGGAAGTAATATCGGGATTTCATCATTAAACGGTTTTCCAACAAAATATGATTTAATTAATAATCATTATTTAGAAGGTCTGGTATAATTGAATACGTACTCGCTTTAATGGTTTATAATATACCCAAATAAAAATTATAATATTTTGTGTACTTTATTGTATTATATTACATTTACATTGAGCCCTAATACGTCATTTTGGCGAGCAATCCGAAATGGAGGCCAAATCACGCATTTCTCCATACGAATTCGCATTTAAACAAAATCACGAAGCAAATGCCTTTCAATTGCCGTACAATTTTATTGAACTCAGAAACAAAAGTTCCACAAAAGCTTTTGTTTGTCTTTGACATTTGGAATTTTTCAAATTCAAAACAAACACAAAGAATTGAATAAATCTTTGAAATTTGTGTATAAAAATTGTTAATTTATACTTTACACATTTTTAGTTTAAACAACGACTAATTGCCTTTTTGTGTCCAAAATGGGTTAAATTTATAATAAATGTAGTGTTTGTTTACATTCATTTTGTTTTTGTCTTCCCTTTTCAATTGATGAGAAGTCAAAGCAAATGCGGATCAAGCGGTGTAAACACCTTCAAATGACTGATTTCAAAGCTCGCATTTGGGGCCAAAGAAAATGTAATATTAAACTGTCGAAGTCAAATTGTCAATTGTTTTGTACTTGGTACAAGTCTGGTCATTTTCGAACTAGTTCGGTTTCAGTCAGGAAATTCTAGTTGTAAACTAGTATTTTTCCCGACTAGTTTGGGGTTTCACTGCAGGAAGTTTGCCCCTATTGTGGACATTAAATAAAAGACGAATTTTGATGGATCGAAAACTCATAGTGTAATGATTTTTCCAAAAATAAATCTCGCAACTACAAATATGAGTACTGTACTTACCTCTTGTATATTTCAACTCGAATTTCATAGGTAAGTTAATTGATGGCAAAACATATTCGTAACGTATTAGTATGACGTTGCCTCTAGATGTTATAGGCTCGAGTTCCTTTTGATTGCCACAAAGACGCTTTAAGAGGTTGCTATCATCGGAAGCTCCGTCAAAAACCTTTCAGGAAATTGCAACGATAGTTACTGACTAATATTTTGTGGGAAAAACAATATTAACTAATTGTACTACTAACTTCGACTTTTTGTAAGAAACAACTTTCAGACCTTAGCAGATGAAAGTCTGTGAATTCCAACTTAATTTTAGTGTCGATTGGTTGACGTATTAAATACGAGCATACACGTCCATTGATGTAGCCTGCAATGGTCCCTGATGGTTCCGTGAAGACGCCGCCACAGTTGGGTGCACTCGGCACAACTTCATAATGCAATTGAAAAGAGCTGTCTATTCCGAAAGAATCTGTATGAAGTTGTAAGTGGATGGTGTTTGACGAAGAGTGTATTGGCTCGATGAGTGAAGGTTCACACACGGATCTTAATAAGAGATCGGAATCATAGACCTGCAACCGGAACCAACGTTACATATGATGATTTTATAAATACGAGTAAAATAGTTCCTGGTTATACATGCATGCGCCGTCTAAGATGCACAGCTCTTGGTGCTTATAACTGCATATATCTTTGACTCATAAAATAAAAAAATCCCTTAGCTGGACCAAAGACTATATGATAATTTAACTGAAATTAGTTATATATTTATTTTAGTAAAAAATAAGGATCTATCCTTCAAATTTAATTAAATAAAAAATAAGAAATCCGTTTTACTCAAAGAAAACGAATAACAAAAAAACATGTAAGGGAATAAAAATTAGTCCTGATATTAGTCCAGTCAAATTAGATTAAAAAATCGGCCCTATTATGGTCGACCTACGGCCTTTGATAATTTCAGCTCTATATTAATTTTTGTAAACTTATGCGGCCCTATTATGGTTGCCGACTTCGACGTTGATGTAATTTTTTCAACAAAAAATAGCCCTCATTAGTCCAACTTCAGCTACGCTAGCCACAGTATTTCTGCGAGGAACACCTTTCCCGTAAAATACTGTGGTCAGTGTAACTGGAGTTGGACTTACGATGGCTATCTTTTGATGAAAAAATTACATCGACGTCGAAGTCGGAAACCACAATAGGGCCGCATAAGTTTACAAAAATTAATATAGAGCTGAAATTATCAAAGGCCGTAGGAAACAATTGCAAATAAAACTTTAAAAGTTCCCATTGATCGGGCATATGTTAGATAAATTATTTAAGGTCAAAGGTCAACATTATTAGGTTTTTGCATTTTTCTCTTAAATTGCAAGTTGTATTGAAAAAATAGATAAGCAAGAGTTCCTAAAAGAGGTGCTATATGATCGACAAATTTTGTATGTACATGCATCTATTTTTTCGATAAAAATTACCATTTACGAGAAGACCGCAAACTTTTTTAACCCTAGAACACACACCCAGAAAATACCACGTAAACACACACCCGGGATACGTTTGTACCCGGGACCTTATTTTTCGGTTTTTTTAATGCTTATTCAACCGATTTCTATGATTTTTTTTTTGAAATGTATATTTTAATATATAACAAGTATTTTGTCTTTTGTTTCATTCGAATATTCCTACTGGTTCCAGCGATATGGGCAAATAAAGTCAGGACATGCAACAGTGGATTTTTGTTTTTGTTGTTGTCCTGATAAATGCAAAACAAAATAATATAATTTATAATAATATACTTGTAGAGTAACAACGAATACACATTTTGGTTTTTATTTCATTGAAATATTCTACCTGGTTCAAAAGATATGTGCAAAAAGGTCGCGCAAGGTATGGGTACGTAGGTAGCAAATACACTGGTATAACTGGTTTTTGTATTTTATATGCAGCTGCAAGGGTTGTTTTCACACGAGGTGTTGTTATAAATGCTGCCTGTTGATATTTTCATTATTGTTTTGGTGCTCAAAAGTGTAAGAAGTGAAAATATAAGTGAAAATAAATATAACTGAAACTATAAATAACTGGATACGAAATGACTTCAAGAAGAAACGAATATTTATCAAGTGCAGCATATAGAAGGTAAAAAATGTAAAATAAGCAACAATGTAAACATATACTAATTTTTTTATTATGCAGGCTAACTGAGGAACAGCGAGAATCATATATACAATCTTTATTTGATGAAATTTGTGACGATGACGCTCCCTATGACTTTGACTCAGAAGATGAAGAAGAAATTCAAATCAATGACATTGAAATTGCTGATGACGATGCTGAAGTTTCGCAAAGTGCCGCAGAAGTATTACCTGATTATGCGGACTATGAGGATGATGAAGAAGACGATGAAGAAGAAGAAGTAGAAGAAAATAATGAATTACCTGCTAGTGCCGAAAAATTTGTTGCACGTGATGGTACTGAGTGGATGAAAGAACCAAATGTAAGTCGTCAGGTACTCAGACAAAATATTATAAGAGAACGTTCTGGACCAGCTAGATGCACTGAAATGTTGTCAATAGAGCAAACATTCAAATGTTTCATGAACGTTGAAATGGCTGATATAATTATGCGCCACACAAATAAGTTAGCAAAAGAAACTTACAATGCTTACAACAATGCGCATCCAAACACAACTCCTAAGTCATGGACGCCTGTGTCAATAACAGAGCTGTATGCATTTTTTGGCATACTTATTATGACTGGTGCGAACCATAGCAATGGAGAACCTGTTCGAGATTTATGGAGCGTCAAAAACTATCCTTTATATCGCGCCACAATGGGAGTCAACCGTTTCTGTTCGATATTGCGGTTCCTAAGATTTGACGATAAAAACACTCGTGCAACACGCTTACTAACTGATAAAGCAGCACCGATCAGTGAGTTGTGGACGATGATGAACAATAATTGCACATTACAAGCCCAGCTCATGCTTGATGATTGATGAACAATTATTTCCTTACCGTGGACGCACACGGTTTACGCAGTACATACCGTCAAAACCTGCTAAATATGGTATCAAGGTTTGGTGGATTTGCGATGCCACAAATGCATATCCACTGCATGGACAAATATATACTGGCCAAGCAGAAACTGGTAGGGAAACGAACCAAGGCGAACGAGTGGTGAAGGATTTGTCTGCCAAATACCAAGGAAGTGGCCGAAACATTACAATGGACAATTTGTTTACGACCTTGCCAGTTGCAGAACTGCTTCTCACCTGGAAACTCACGATCCGTGGAACTTTGCGCAAAAACAAATCATATATTCCTCAAGAAATGAAGCAGAACAAAAACAGGACAATTGGTTCAATGACATTTGGCTTCAAAAATAATGTGACAATGTGCTCTTATGTTCCCAAAAAAAATAAAGCAGTAATTTTGCTTTCGAACATGCATAATGATGCTGAAATAGCTGACAGTGGGAAACCTGAAATAATTGAATATTATAATCGTACCAAATGTGGTGTTGATCGAATGGACCAAATGTTTGCGGAATATCCAACACAAAGACAAACAAAACGATGGCCACTAGCGATGTTCTTCAACATGTTGGACATTACAGCTCTTGCAGCCTACATTGTCTACGATTTGAATAACCCTATGTTGCCTTGGAGAACAAACAACAAGCGTAAGCAGATCCTGCGCAGCTTGGCTGAGGCATTGTGTATGCCCATTATTGAAGCCAGAGCCATAAATCGTCAAGTGACGCGAAATCTTTCGACTAAAATTGCTATTGAAGCATATTTCAACCGACCGGTGGAATCAATGGTGTCAACAGCAGCATCAACATCTGCCGCAGCGCGCACGCCAAAACCTGTGTCCGGATCTTGCTATTTATGTTACGCACAAGAGGAAAAACGCCGTAGAAAAACCAGAAAGCTGTGCGACAAATGTAAGAAGCCAATGTGTCTTGAACATTCGGTCACATCAACAAATTGCTCTATTTGCCATGATTTTCCTTAGATATAAGATGCATTTTTATAATTTTTATAATAAAAGTCAATAATATAATGTGTGAAATGAATATTTTTAATTTTTCAAATAAAAAAATAATATGAAAAATGTTTTTTTTTATTATTATGAGGATTTTTACTATTGGGGTACAAACGTATCCCGGGTGTGTGTTTACGTATATAATGTGTTTGGAAGGCTGTAGCTCCTGAACCAATGGTCCGATCTGAATCAAATGAATTTGAACTCAAAACTAAATAATCTTCCTAGATCCGAAGTTAGCGGTATAGAGGTATAGCGGTTCAAAAGTTACAACACTTCAAAGTTGAAAGTGGATACATTTGTACCCGGGTGTGTGTTCTAGGGTTAAGCACACGGGGAATCATAGGGGGCATATAGCACTTCACATGTAATGATTAGGGAAGACAAAAATATGCAAATGCATATGGGTGTTTCCATCGGAAGAACCACCACGACAAAAAAAAAATTTATATCTAACGTATTTACGGGCCGATTTGTCTGCTTTTTAAAATATATACTGGCTATATAAGTAGAATCATGTTTGCGTAAAATGGTATTCCTAGGTGGCGCCAAGGTTGAGATATTTCGAAAAACCGTATTTATGGTCCGATTTGGTTCGACCGTATGTAGTTGAAACATAATAAGTCATAGATTTCCAACAAATTCACCCTGAGTTGACGCTGAAGTCAAAATATAATGTATATTCTACAAAAAAACCTTTTTTTATTTGCGTTAAAAATTCATTTAAAAGCAATATTAACAAAAATATTTTGGCGGTTAGGGCTCGATATGTATGGGCAAAAACTTTTTATGCGATAATCGAAAAAATTTTCGTTATATATGTAGGTACATCTTTGGGGCATATATCAAGCATATTTTTAACATTTTGGAGTCATTTTAATGATCATATAATTAAGTTTTTTGTGCATATTTTTGTCTTCCCTAGTAATGATGATCCTAAGACCTGTGCCAATTTTGATCTCAATGCGAATATGTGTAAAATGAAATTTCTATTTTTACCGGGCAACAAGTACACACACACACTAGAATGTGTATGTGGTGCGATAAATTCAGTTTGTATGGGAGATGCCACGCCCCCTTTTTCAATAACTCCCATTTTTTCCATGAGTTTGGCGTTGATATTATATATCTCTGTACTAAGTTGCAGCACTCTACGATGAATATTTACTTCCAGATATATGTTGTGTGACAACTTCAGTTTGTATGGGAGGTGCCACGCCCCCTTGATATATCGAAATTGCTTTTCATCTTCAATCATCCTTGGATAGTCTGGAGTCGATGTCCAAAATTTCAAAAATATCGGTACAGCTGTTCTCGAGTTTTTCGAACAGAAAAAACAAAAAAAAAAACGACTTTCAAAATGTATATGTGTACAGATAACAAACGACAGACATTTTTTAATTAAATGTATCCTATAGAAAAATGTTTATGAATGATTGTTTAAATAATTTCAGGCATTTGAAATTAACCCTCTCAGACGCGATGCCCCTTATAAGGGACTGCAATATTTGCATAGTTTAGCTTCACTT